CTCAAATACACTGCTGAAGGGAGCAGTGGGTAAGACACCATTTAGGTCACATCCCTGTATGGGGATCAAGGTTGTGCTGCAGTGGTTGCTGATAGCTTCATAGTTCTGTGTTTAACCCCTTGGGCCACCAGGGAAGGAAGGCCTCAGTTTGGGAAATTTTAAGAGCCAGGTGAAGCCATTGATTAAAGGAGGTAATAAGCACCAAGTACTTAGCAGCTGCTTACCCCACACAAGCTCATTCATTCCATTTAGGCCTGGACTAGGCATTCACAGAATTAGAACTGAATGCAATGGGGGTGGGGAGCACAGATGCTAAATACTGCAATAGAATTTCAGATGAGGAGCATGCTCTGCGAAGGCTGAGCTGAAGAGTGAGGTGGCCAAAGAAAGCCTCTCCAAGAAATGATATTTCAACAGAAGCCTGAGGAAAAGTAAGGATAGTCTTGTGGTTGTCTGGCAGGAGGAATGGGAAGTCCCATGCCCACTCCCTGGGACAAGCCTGTCATATTCTCCAAGCTGGAAAGAGGGCCATGTACATTTAGTAGAGGGAGGGCAGGTGAGAGAGTGAAACAATCTAGGTTGTATCTCATAAGATCAGTGCAGATGCTGTGTAAAATAGATTGTGGGGGAAAGGTAGGAAGTTGCTACTAGTCAGGATGACAGCCATGAGACTGGGGAAGGACTTGGAATGGGGTGAGCAGTGGAGTTGACTGGGTGGGATATGTGAAAAAAAGAAAAAGGGAGTCAAGGATGATAATAACTCCATTGAAGACCAGAAGGAAACAGCATGAGAACTTTTGGGGTCCTGTTGTGTTTGGAATACACAAACACCTAAGAGATATGGTGGATTTGATCTCAAGCCTCCCAACTAAAGCAAACTCTAACACAGGACCTCCCTGGTGGCACAGGCATTGAGTCTCAGTGCTATAAGGCTATCACTAGCCACTTTGGACATGGCATGATTCGATCCCCCACCAGGGAACTAGCACATGACACAGCAGACTTCTCCTGTCTTGCTGAAATACACGCCTGAAATACAGCAATGTATTTCAGTCAATATACCTGTTCTGTTCCTTGCTCTGTCTCTGATGAATCCTCTCACCACCCCCCCACCTTTGGCCTATACCCAAGTTATTGTATGCATACATAAAATAAAATAAAAATAAATATTAAAAAAGAAAAAAGACAAACAAAAGTCATATAAACATTTTAGTATCCCAGTGCACATAAAATGTATATTGCAGGGCCTCCCTGGTAGTACAAGGAGTTGAGGCACAGAACTGTGAAGCTGTCCACAGCTGCTGTGGTATGAGTTTGACCCCCAGCCAGGGAGGTGACCCACATGATGCAGCAGATCTCTCCTGTCTGCTGCCCCCCTCAGCAGTGTATTTCATTGATCTGCCTGTTCTGCTCCCCACTCTGTCTCTGGTGAATCCTTTCACTTCCTGCACCTCTGGCCTGTACTCCAGTTTCTGTATTCATAAGTAAATGTATCTTTAAAAATAAATAAATCTTTAAAAACTTTTTGAAAAATGTATGTTATACTGCAAGCTACTAAGTGTACAATGGCGTTTTATCAGGGGGGAAAATGCCCATACCTTAATAAAGTGTGATGTGACAAAGAGACATGGTAACGATTTGTTTAATGTGGGATTGCCATAAATCTTCAATTTGTAAAAAGAAACAAAAAGTGGGGTCCTTCCTGGTGGCACAGCGGGTTAAAGCACAGCACTAAGAAGCTAAAGCCACTTCAGCATGAGTTCGATCCCCATCCTGGAGGAGATCCACATGGCCCCGTAGACCTCTCCTGACCTGCTCACTGCTCCCCTCAGCAGTGTACTTCATCAATCTGCCTGTTTTGCTCCCCACTCTGTCTCTGGTGAATCCTCTCACCGCCCCTGCACCTCTGGCCTGTGCCCCAGTTCTGTATGCATAAATAAATAAATGTTTAAAATTTATATATAAGCAACATGCAATAAATTTAATAAAACAAGATACAAGATATGCCTGGAGACAATGGGAGAAGACTTGAATAGACAAGTATAGAGGTTGAGGCTGTGAGATAGGGGGAAGGCCTATGATGGAAAAGCTAAATTTCAGAAACAGCGGGGAAGTAGCATTAAAGTCCCTAGGACTGAAGGGAGGTACCTCTCTGTGGACAGAGAGGTCTAGTGGCTGAGGCAGGGCATACTTGTGAGAGAGAAAAAAACCAGAAAAGTGGGGACCTAGAGGAGGGAATAAGGAAATCTGTCAAATACCTATGATTTTACTGAACTTTGAAACTGGGACAGGAAGCGAACCCTTGTTCACTGTGAGCAACTACAAGCAGGGATGACTTTTCCAGCTCTCTGCCTGCACTTTCAGAGTACAAGTACCTATAGGTACTTGTATTGCTCTCTGTGCTTTTACATTATCATCCCAACCCCCAATATAGTAATAATATATTAAGTTTCTGTGCACCAGGCACTCTGCTGAGCACTTTACAGATACTATTATTGTCCACAACTTACAACCAAGGAAACTGAAGCTCAGAGAAGTGAAGTGTCTTAACTGCGGCACAGAAAGCAAGCAGAGCTGTTGGACTGGCTCTAGAATCTATGCTCCTCATACCACTTTGCAGCTGACCTTTGTCACCCCACATCATGATTCTAATTACCTGGGTTGTTCAGCATGCATATCTGTCCAGTTCACACCTTTTTTTTTTTTTTAAGTTTTTAAAGATTTATTTATTTGTGCATATAGAACTGGGGTACAGGCCAGAGGCTCAGGGGCGGTGAGAGGCTTCACCAGAGACAGAGTGGGGAGCAGAACAGGCAGATCGACGAAGTACACTGCTGAGGGGAGCAGCGGGCGGGTCAGGAGAGGTCTGCCACGCCATGTGGTCCCCTCCGGGGCAGGTGGGGATCGAACTCATGCAGAAGTGGCTTTAGCTTCTTAGTGCTGTGCTTTAACCCGCTGCGCCACCAGGGAAGGCCCCAGTTCACACCTTTTTAAAGAAAAGATTTATTTATGTATCCAGAACTGGGGTACAGGCAGGAGGTACAGGGGCAGTGAGAAGACTCACCAGAGACAGAGTGGGGAGCAGAACAGGCAGATTGATGAAGTACACTGCTGAGGGGAGCAGCTGGCTGCCAGTCAGAAGTCTGCTATACCATCTGGGTTATCTCCCTGGCCAGGATCAAACTAGTGCTGCTGTGGCTGCAGATAACTTCGTAATGCTGCACTTTAACCTGTTGCACAACCCAGGAGGGCCCCCAGTTCACCATGGATTATTTACATTCTCCAAGACTAGTAAGGTTAAATGGGCATGTAGATTTGTGCTGATTTTGAATAAGGCTGTAGTGAGTGGAGCCCCCTGCTCCAAACCTAGGGTTATCTGGGAAATCCTCTGGTCTGTAATACATGACATAGTTTTCATAGCTGTTGTCCAACTGATCACGCCATGGAAGTCCTGAGCCTATGTGTGAATAGCCTCAAAATTCTTCACGTCACCAAAAAAAAAAAAAAAATTCAATTCTTCTTGTCACCAATGTTATGATTGTGACTAGTTTTCAATTTTACCTATTCTGGTGGGTGAAATGAGGTCTTGGAGAGGGATATAGTTTAAGGGTGTGTGCGTGTGCGTGTGTGTGTTCGCGGGCAAGCACGTGTGTCCTGTCTGGCACTGCATCATCTTCACCTTCTAGCCCCGGGGACCATGGCCCGCACCGGAAACCCCCAAAGGGCCAGGGCGGGGGCGGGGGTCGGCCAGCGGCTTCCCGCGGAAGGAAGGGCCCGGCAGTTCCTGCTACAGGATGCTCAGCGATGGCCCCCTCCCCAGACGACGGGACTTCCCCGGCCAAGCCAACATCATCGGGTAATTGTTCCCACGCAGACGCCTTTTGGTACCGCAGTGGGTGAGGGATTCGACAGCCCCTCCCCAGGCCACACTGGGAAGTGGTGGGTCAGGGCCCCCGAACGGGTGGCGACCGAATACCCACGTTTCGGCGATCGAATCTCCCACGTTTCGCGGTGACAAACCTGGTGGGGGTGGAGGCTAGCCAGCCTAGATTTCCCCAGGCTGCCAGGAGCTCCTGAGGCAGGGGGCGCGGGGTGGGAGGGGAGCCTTGCGCGGGCGTTCTGGGGCAGACCTTGCTCTCCGCCGCACCCTCCTCCTCTTCCCCTGGGGCCTCCGGGTCAGGTCCGCCGAGTCTGGAGATGGCTGGGGCTGGCAGAGCCAGCCGTCGGGAGGCGGGGCGGGCGTTGTGATGGCGCCTCAGTCTGCGCACCTGCGGCTCCTTTGTCCTCCCAGCAGCCACCCCACACTGCCCTCGGACAACGGCCATTCCACTCTCCTGGATTAACTTGAGACTTTTTAGGGCTTTCTCTTCCCGGGAAGGATAACCCGGGGCTGGCCTGGGACCAAAGCAGGTAACTAGGGCCCCTTCGGGCATTTCTAAACTCAAAACTTCGCTGGGAAGCCGCTTTGAGGTCCACCTCACAGGCAACTGAGGGAGCGCAACTCCCGGCCGTGCCACGACTTTATCGCTTCTGAAACCGAGGAATAAAGCGCACCTTTTAGCCCCCGGAACCCCCACTTCAAGTTCAAGCCCAAACTGTGGGACCCCCGCCAGAGCTATTCAGTCCAAGTGGGGCGTGGTGTCGTTCAAAGGTCTGCAAAGAAGGCGGGATCTCCCAACTCCGCTGTGAGCACTGTGAAGAGCAGTGCCCTCCCCATCCTCCAGTCTTAACTGAGAAGCCCGCCTCTCCTAGCCTGAGTTGAGGACACCCCCACGTTCCTCGGGTTTAGGAAATCTGAGCCTTGGTGTGTTAGGACGCCCAGCACGGAAGAGCTTGGCCAGAAAAAGGGGCCTAGGCCCCTCTCACCCACTCTACCCACGTGGTAGCTGGTCTGACCGGTTTCTGCGGCCCCAGCTAGTAGCCGCCGGCGTCTGACCCCTTAACCCTGGCCCCCCTCCACCGGGGAAGAAAACCAGTCGGGCAGCAGACTTTTTGTTCAAATGGTTTTTATTTTCCTATCTGGCGTTTCTAGCAAAAGGCCAGGTAAACAGAGTCCACTACAGTATGAATCTTCCCCGCCCCCAAATTGGTACCGTCTCCGCAAAGCGCTCTGAACTCCCCCTCCTACCCCCAACTTGATTCAGACCAAGAGCTTTCGAGTTGTGAGGATCACTCTAGATGGAATATATTCCCACCTCTTAACACACCAGACAAGAAAGATTTTAATCTGAAATTAGAGCAGCCCTCCCCCCCACACCTCCACAGCAGTGGGGCCCAGGATACTAAGCCACAGAACGCCGGGGTGAAGTGACTCAGAAGGCCCTCCTCCCACTCCCCGGGGCGGTCCACACCCCAGGCCCTCCTCCCAGGCCCCACACCCACGCAGGGCAACAGGAAGCTCCCCACGTCCGCCCCATGACGCAACGATGACCGCTTGCACAAGTATGTCACTGGAGGGGGAAGGGGAGCGCCTGGTATTCTCCGAGGTTGGAAACGCACACACACCAACTACTGAAATACCTTGAAAGGGCAGCACATCCCCCTGGCTTAAAAAGATGGTGATAGTATTATTAAGTCCGACCCTGAGGATTTGAAATAACCATGCCTCCCTTCTCCCAGTGCGGGAAGGAGAGGGGGAGGTCCAGAATCCAGTCCGTTTAGACAGCACCTGTGGGCGCGGCAGGTCTCGGGGGAAGGCGGCCGCGCCCCGGACTCAGGCTTCTCGGTGCCGCCGGTGCCACTGCTGCACGTAGATGGCGATGCCTCCCCAGGGACAAAGTCCCCCTCTGGGCTCTCAGCAGCCTGGGCGGCGGCTCCTCTCCACAGTTTCCGCGAGCGCTCCCTCGGGGGTGGGCCTCGCCTCGGGTCTGCGCACTCCGGCCGACTCTTCGGCGCGCACTCTTGTGCTCTGGCAGCGCCGCTCGGGGTCCCTCAAAAGGCCACCACGGCCCGCACAAGCACATTCAGCATACTGTCCGCCGGGCGGCAGGCGGGCTTCGCCTCGCACGCCGCCGGCGCCGTCTGTGGGGCTGCAGGGCTACAGTTCAGTAGGCCGGAGAAGCGCCTCTGGAGGACACGAGCCAGATTGGGGAAAGCGCCCTCCGCTTGCGCTGAAAGGGGCTGCAGGCGATCACAGACCTCCGAAGACTCCCCTTCCTTCTCTGTCTCTTCTTCTAGACGAGCTTTCTTGCTCGGAACCAGTCCGGCGTCCCCGACGTCGCTCAGGCTGCAGCTCCGCCGCTTGCGGTTCACTTTGCCGGGGCGCGGGTCACACCGGGCAAGGGTCTCCTCGGCTCTCCGCGCCTCCTGGATGTCCTTGGGCTCTGGAGAGGGCTGCTCACCGTCGGGGGGCGCTGCTTCGGCTGCGGCTTCCGCTTCCCTTAGCGGGTGCCGGCAAGGATCTGGGGAGCCGGAGGGCGACAAGAGCATCTCGGGTTCGTGGGCTTCCACCTTGGCCGAGAGATAGAGCTCCCTAGCGTTGCGCATGACGAGCGACAGCTGCAGACTCCGGTGCAGACGCAGACCGCCGCGCTGCATGCGCGAATGGTACATCTTCCATATCGACAGGGTCATGATGCGTTGCGCCTCCTTCTGCACCTCCATGGCGGACCGACGGCGGGGGCGCGGCTGGTGGGGACTCCGGCTGAGCAAGATAGGAAACAGGTGTACTCTAGACAACACGCTCGTTCACGCGCCTCCCCGCACAGGAACCTACGCAGTGACACAGCTAGGACGCTCTGTCCCGCCGCCCGCCACCCGAGCCCTTTTGTACCCCGAGTGAAGTCACCGAGACGCCCCGCCCAATCGGAGAGCCGCATCCGGGCTTTCCACCTTGCGGAGGCAAAAGTCTCCTTAAAGCGACAGGGTGGAATTTACCGAGTTCGCCAAAGGGAGGCCAGTGGATGAGAGCTGTCCAGTAGCTAGATGAACGCCCCCCAATATACGCGGAGCTCTAGGGGTGGTCTCCTTTCTCGCGGCTCTCAAAGCACTGGCGCAGGTCGCCGGGAGATTGGGGAAGCGTGAGGCTACCACGTACTTGCGTGCGCAGTCCGCAGCGCACTTAGGCGGCAAATTTCCCGTAGGTCTGGGGAAGATCCGAGTTCCTCTCCCGTGGGCAGTTCCTAGCGTATTTATCTGGCGTCTTTCTTTTTTCAATGTATAAGCTAATAATGGAGCCAACTCGTTAGTGCTTGGCGGTGTTAAGGGCTTTCCTTTCGTAATTATTGATTCCTCACCTCCTTCCACGAGGACCTGATATTCTTCAGATTGGGAAACAGGATTAACTGACTCGTCCAATATCTACTAAAAGAATAAATGGGCCGCGGAGCAAAAGGGGGCCATCGGAATCTCCAGTTCTTCGGTCCCTCTAGCGAACGCCAACCTCCTATAACTCCCCTCGTTTGCATGCCACAAGAGCCTGGGAGACACTGGCTGGCTCCAAGGCAATGTTGCCCACTCCTCTGGAGGCGGATATTTATAGATGGGTGCACAGCCCGGGGCTACCATTTCTGCGTTCCGCGGTGGGCTTCCCAGCCCTCCCCGTTTCCATCTGCGCAAGCTCCACAGGTGGGATTACCGCTGGCTAGGAGGGCCCGGCTGCACCACTGCACAGATCAACACGTGGCACAGCCCCCCCAAAGAAAAAGCGGTAACGTGTCTGCGCCCCAGGAGGCGTGGTTGCGGTAGCTGCGAACTGAGCCAGAGATAGTACAGATAGAAAACTTGGGGCACCTTACACAGCTGTGCTACAGTTCCAGGAAAACTATTCTAGCTCCTCGGGTGGGCGGGTGGAATAAAAGGCAAAATTATCCGAACGGCGCCATTCACTCGTGGCTCGGGCCCTTTAACAGGAGACCCCGCCCCCACCCCAACAGGCGCGCGGAGCCTTCCCGCCACTGGATCTGCCAGACTTCCACAACTAAATTTGGAAGTATTGACGTAAGGGCGACTCTTGATCCACTTCCTGTTGCCCTTATAAGGACCGGGCTCGGGATTTCCGTAACTGGGCTGCCTCTAGCTTCTTCCGGGCGGGCGGGTGGGTGGTGCCCGGGTCTCCGGACACGCCCTCACCCCGCCAACTTACCCGGCAGCTGGGGGCTTCCGGATTCACGTCCGGCGGGACCCGCGGGGAGTGAAAGGAAGGTTTCGTTTCCTTCTCTCCACAGAGCAGGAAGGTGTGTTGCTGAGTAAAGCCCCCGCGCCGGTTGGGAGGAGCAAACTCTAGCTCCCACTGACGCCATCTACCGAAGATCCTACTTAAAGACCTAGTCAAACAAGGATAACTTGCTCAGGACCCTCTTCATCCCTCTCCTACGGAGACCCTACTGTGTCCCTCCCACGTAAACCTGCGCGTCGCCTTCGGCGCACGCTTAGCTCCACCCCCCGCCCCCCATCACTGTGCAGGGAGACTCACCAACTATTCTTTTAGAGGCCTGCTCTAACCACCGTCCACATTCAGCGATTCTACCGCACTACGGAGATCAGCTGATGACGCCCCATTCCGCTTCCCACCACCATCTAGGAGTCCATACGACAGCCCTGAGCTGAGATTCTCTCACAGCGACTAAAACAGGGCTAGGACTTCCTCAGATATGAGGACCAACCTCACGAGAGAAACTGGGACACCACTCAGGTGATGGCTCTCCCCCTAAGAGCACACATAGTGCACTTCATATAGGAAGCAACCCTGTGAATCTCACACGCCACTCCTACCCTCTACCCAAACGGACACCTCACACGCAAAGAACATCCCTGGAAACCATATTTGGAACCACCACCACATAACCCTCCCGCGCGAACTCCCAAAAAAACCCACCTCCCAGTATGTGGTCCTCACGGTCACCCACCCCTGGGTGACCTTAAGGCGCCCCCTCTTCCGAAGGAAAAAGAGGGGCGAGACTAGCAAAAGTTCCCAAAGAAGGGGCTTCCTGGTGGCGCCAGGGGTTATTAAGTCGCAGCACTACGAAGCTGTCCGCAGTCACTACAGCACAAGTTCCATCCTCGGCCAGGGAGCTGACTCACATGGCGTGGCAGACTTCTGTCTTGCCCGCTGCTCCCCTCAGCGGTACGCTTCGGTGGACCTGCCTGTTCTGCTTATCACTCTTGTCTCTGGTGAATCTTCTCACTTACTCGAACCTTTGGCCTGCACCCCAGCTCTTCTATGCACAAATAAATAAATCTTTAAAAAAAAAAAAGGATCCCAAAGAAAAGTGTCCGCGTCTCACTCAGCACCAATGGGAAAGTGGGGAGGACGACCTCTCTCACACCCCTTCCCAAATTGCCACCCACGACAGTGGGCTGGAAAGATCTCCTAGGATAGGATCAAGGTGCAAGCTGGCTCATGGAGTAGTTTAAGAGGATCTGCGAGTCGAATGAGCCCTTCTCCAGACATAAACGGGTCTGACTTGTGGGAGGCTGGTATTTACATTGCCCAAAGGGAAACTGAGGCAGTGCACCAAAAATCGAGAGGCTGGGTCTCGAACCCAGGCTTTGCGAACTCTGACCCAAAGGCAAGCCAGGAATTAACCAGTACACTGCAGTGTTGGGCAAGGAAAAGTAACTTGGAGGCACAAGGGCCGCCCATGCACACCGGAAGTTGCTTGCGCCCATAAGTAAGATGGCCGCCGAAAGGACGGAACTTTCTGCACCTTGGCCTTCCAAGGCTCCTCTTTCTTCCCTGGAGGAACTACTCTCGATGGTGGCACGGTCACCTGACAGGGGTGGGCGGGAACCTTCGAGCAAGGCCCAGAGGGGTGGGGGCTCGGCTGCGGGCGGGAGAGTGACATGTCTCTGGAAGATCCGTTTTTTGTAGTCCGAGGGTGAGTGACAGCGATGGGAGAAGTCAGAGGGTGCTCAGTCCCCCTACCAGCAGGTGGCCAGGGTCAGCGGAGCGTGCCAGGCGGTCTGGGCACGGCCGTCAGGGTACGCGGGTCGCCCGTGGCGGAGTGGGAGAGGTACGCAGGGGGAGATGAGAGTGTCCTGAATCCCCAACTCTTTCGGGTCCGTGTGACTAGGGGGAGACCATCTGCCCCCAGTCGTGCTTACTGTGCCCCTCTCCGTAGTGAGGTGCAGAAGGCAGTGAACGCTGCCCGCGGACTGTACCAGCGCTGGTGCGTGCTCCTGAAGGAGGGTGCGGTGGTCGGACGCGAAGAGCTGGACCGGACAACTAATGAATTGCGGAATAGCCTGCGCAGCATCGATGGAGGAAACTATCGATATCCTAGGAAGGGCTGGAGGTTTAAGGGAGGCATGGGAGAGTCCATTACGTTGGCCAGGGCCTTTGGAAGTCACCACAGTGGGAGCCTGGACACCTGGGAGGTGTGTGAGGGTATTAGGCGGAAGAGAGGGTTGTTTCTGGCTCTGGCCTTGACTTTTGACTAGCGGCTTACGCATAGTGGAAGCCAACCCAGGCAAGTTCAAGCTTCCCTCCGGAGACTTGCAGGAGAGAAAGGTGTTTGTGGAACGGATGTGGGAGGCAGTCAGATGAGGTTTTCTGGTGGGTTAAGTGTGGGGAGGTTGTGGTGTTTTTACTCTCTAATGCTACCCTCACCCCCAGGAAATGAGGGACCACATGGTCGACCCAGCAGCCATGGCTTTTATGGAGAGGGAAAATAGAATGTAAAGTATCCTGACCCAACTTTCTAACCTACTTCCCTCCAGGGACCTTCTTTGAGTGCAAATTGGACTACACCACATGCTTTCATCTGTCTTCCTGTGTGTATGTGTGTGTGTGTATGTCTTCCAGTATGTTTATGTGTGTGTATCTCTGTCCCCTTCTGTGTCAATGTCTATCTTTTCTGTGTGCAATTTTGTCCTGGCCAATCTACCTGCCTGATCTTTCTGGATGTGTACACCTCAGCCTTCTGTGTGTGTGATGCCTTCTGACTTTATTTAACCCATCTAGAAGTAGCCTCCCTCCCTCTACCACGTTTATTTTTCCTGATTTACCTGTCAATTGCAGTCTGAAAATATTCTATACAACAAGATATTGAGAGAAACCACATTCATGCAGCTTTTACAATATATATTGTTGTAATTGTTGTATTTTATTATTTCCTGTGCCTAATTTATAAATTTAACTTGATCATAAATATGTGTAGGGAAAAAATCCAACAGTATCAATAGAGTTTGGTGCTAGCCATAGTTTCAGGCAGCCACTATGGAGGAGAGAGGTTGGAAGATATGTATACCTATCTCCCAAGTCTTTTTTGCTACTCCTTATGTCACTGTTGCCAGGATATATGCCTTCCTTTATTTTCTGCATGTGCAGTTGGCCCGACTGTGTGTGTGTGTCTGCCTTCTGCATGCATCATTTCCTTCTGTAAGTGTGCCTGCCTCCTGGATGTGCTCCTCATGCCTTCTGTGTACATTCTCCATAACCTCTTTGTACAGCTTTTTCCTCTGTGTTATACAGTCTTTGCATGTTGTGAACACCATCCTTCCCCATCCCCTCCTAAACCCACAGATGGTCTGGGAAGGAGGGGATTAAGGCCCGTAGCAGCACCCACATGAGTTCCAGGTGTACTTTTCTTGAAGTAAAGACCAAATTCTTGGGACCTCCCTGGTCTCGCCACTGCATCATGAGTTTGGTCCCTGGCTAGGGACCTGCCCACATGAACAGCAGGCCGCTCCTGTCTCACCTGCTGCTTTCCTTAGCAGTGTATTTCAGTAAATTTGCCCATTCTGTGCCCCACTCTGTTTCAGGTAAATCCTCTCACCCCCTGCACCCCTTTATATATAAATAAATCTTTAACAAAGAAAGATTAAACTCTTAAAATACATCTGTTTGACAGCATAGGTATTCTCTATTGATTAACTAAATCCTCATTCTAATCCCTGAAAACAGGGATTACAGCTATCCCCACTTTGAAATTGAGAAAACTGAGGCACAGAAGTTCTAGTGATATGACCTTGGGGGTCACATAGTACATAGTAGGTTTGGGAAACCATGCCACCACCCAGACACTGCCTTCCTGATTATAAGTAACAATCATAGTTGCTTGAAACCTGTTTCTCAGCCTGCAGGAAGTAAGCTTTTCTCCTTGAGCCTGTGATCTGTGCTCCCACAGCCACTGGTGGGCAAATCAGTTGCCCAGAAATCATCAAGAGACCTGCTAGATGCCAGTGTGGTTTCTGCCACCTCTCGCTACATCTAGGAGCAGCAGGCCATGCAGCAGGTTTGTGTGGGTGGTTAGGGCCCCTACTAGAGAAGCCTGTGGACCGCTCAGGGGTTCCTGCCAACAGCATCTCTCACTCCAATCTGCGGCTGATCATGGTCCTGCTGGAAATGGTGTTGGGGAGCACTGGGGTTCTGAAGCACATGTCCAGACAAGTCAGGGAGGAGCTGGATGAACAGGGCATGTGAGGCCAGGACTGGGGGTGGGCTGGAAGCCCTTGGCTGGCTGTGCAGTGTGCATACTCTTCGGGGATCACACTCTTACTGGTCTTGACAGCATGCTAGATACCTTTGCTCAGGATATGGACCACACTCAATCTCAGATGGATGGGGTTCTCCGGAAGATGGCCAAAGTATCCAAATGACCAGTGGTGAATTCCCTGGGGGAAGCTACTCAGGGGCAGGAAGTGAAGGGGGAGGGGGGGGCTTGGTGCCACTTCCTATGACCTGTGACCCTCTTACACACAGATTGCAGACAGTGGTGTGCCATTGTGGTATTGCTGGGGGTGTGTCTGGTTATCATCCTGCTCTTCTCTGACTCTGGTCCTCCCCTAGGGGCTGGTCCCTGGTGCTAAGAGAGCTGGGAGTACATTGCCTTCTGGGAGGAGGGTCATAGCTGTGGAGCTATCCCAAGGGTCTCAATCAGAGCCAGTGGGACCGTCAAAGGCCTGGGCCAGCACCCCCAAAGAGTCCTATTTCAAGTGCTTTTAGGGGATGTGGAGGTAGAAGCATATACACTTCCTTAATTCCACTTCTGGTGCCCCAAAACCATTTTTTTTACACTTGTGCCTTCATTACATATGCCAATTTGGAAATAAAAACCATCTTTTTCATATATATTTGTACTAAATGGTGTGTTGTGAACTGGTGATTGGCACAAGTCTTCCCATCCTAAGCCTCCTGCTTTTATGTGTGTACATGTCATGAGGTGTCCACTCAGCATCTTGGGAATTTCCATGGTTAATATTTGGAGCAGAAAACTTAAGTTTATTGGCTTCCCTAACAAAAAATTTTACCATTACTGCAAATCATGCTTTCCATTTTTTTTAAAAAAAGATGTTTTATTTTTGCATTCAAGAGTTGAGGTGTAGGCCAGAGATGCAGGGTCATGAGTGGACTACCCTGCCAGTCAGGAGCAGAATAGGCAGACTGAAATACACTGCTGAAAGGAGCAACCAATGAGACAGGAGAGGTCTGCTGTGCAATGTGGGTCAGCTCCCTGGCCAAGGATCAAACTCCTGCTGCTATGGCTGCAGATAGCTTCATGGTGCTGAGACTTCATCCCTTGTACCACTAGTGAGGCCCTCTGCAGAGCCAAACCACATAACAGTGCAACAGATCTTTCGTCTCACCCACTGCACTCAACAATGTATTTCAGTAGATCTGCCTGTTCTGCTCTCCATTCTCTGGTGGATCCTCTTGTCCCCTGCACTTCTGGCCTACACCCCACTTATTCTGTGAAATAAATCTATCTTGGGGGGAAAAAAAAGCTTCACTGTGTATTGGGTATCTGAAAACATGTCCAACCATCCAGGGGGACTGAAGAGAGGCAGGGTATGTGAGTCTAGGAACTTGGGGGTGGCTGCACTGTACGCATGGACTCCTCAGGGGCCCATACCACCCACCTCACCTTCCAGGTATGAAATGATTCCTTAAGCCAAGTAACTCGTAAGTGCTGTGTGAACCTTTGATAATCTTAGATGTTATAGAATCAGATATTAGAACCACATACCTGTTTCCCAGCTACATGTTATAAATTGCAATTATGTCAAAATTTGTCAATTTTTAAAGGGACCGCATATGTAGGCTGTATTATGTAAAATCACTGTCATGTTTTAGGGTTCGCTTGATCTTTTCTATACTGTTATTTCCTAGGGTACAGATATGCTTCTGGGAGCCAAATGGCATTTCCACTTACTTGGGGCTGCCTGTATGTTGAGTCCCTTTTACTGGAGATTACTGTGCAGCAGACACATGAATTTTCATTGTGACTTAGTCTGAGTTATCCTGAAGCTGCCCTGTGAATGGAACTATCACTTGACCCCCATGTGGGGCTGGCTAGGGCAGAATTGAAGCTTCCTTTCCATAAGGCAAAGATGTTTTGACAGAATCCCCAAGATATTCTGCATCAATGGAAGCTCACTGATAAAACCTTTACCACTTTTGACGTAGCCATTTCCTTTGTAACTGTGGAGGGGTTTCCACGAGAAGCCAGGGTTACCCATTCAGGATCTAGGGATCATACATGCAGGTACAATCTGGGGGCATCGTGTATGGAACGCTGGGGCAGTTGTGAGGACACTAAAGGTGAAGCTTTTTGCAGCCTTGGTCTGGTCCTCTGTCCCCATCTGAAAAGCACAGTTCCTCCCCACAAAACTACTACTACACCTGTCAAAGGAAGTCAGGAAAAGGAGAGAGGTATCATTCTGGGGGAAACTCAGTGGTGAATGAACTCCCCCACCCCCCAACCTCTTGTACCCTCTAAGTGAGCAGCATGCAGCAGGGCTGTTACAAAGGCGTTTAGTTTATTCTAATCAGTTATCACTGATATTCTCGTGGTTCACATTTCCCAGTGCGGCTCCTCTCCTTACAGTAGTTAATGTGCAATCTCACTTTTGGGCCTGGGGAGGGGTGCTTGGCCCAGGGCAGGGAAGGTGTTGGCACTTCACGCAGATGCCACAGGTGGTCTGTCCTGCGTGAAAGGTGAGGGTGGGGAGGGGAGAGGGGGGCGGCCAGGGGAGGCAGAGAGGGGGCCCCCACAGTCTTTTTTGCCTTGGTCGGTGATTCCGTGTTTCTTCCTGGCTGCCCAGGGTAGAGGGAGGACCATGCAGCTCAGGGCAGGGCCTGGAAGGGAGGGTGGGGAAAGCAGCAGGCCGCCTGAGGGCACGGGGAGGGCAGGGAATGAGGGATGCAGGGGTGGCTCCTGGGGTAAGGCACAACCCTGTCTTTGGCTCTCCTGGTGAGGAGTTTCCTCCCCTGCACCCCTGCCCGGCCCCTCTCCCCACCCCAATACAGTCCCCAGAGCCAGGGGAACCTCCTGGGGTCCCCTGAAACAGGGGGGTTCTGCCACCCAACCCAGTGCTGCAGAGGCTTGGAGGAGAGATGGGCAAGCCCCACCTAGGACAAGGCAAGGCAGGGAGGGGCTGGGCAGGGCCTGCCCAGGACAAAGGGGTGGGGAGAGAGAAGACCCCAGTCCCAGGGAGCTAGTCCCTGCTAAGGCCTGGAAGGAGGGGAGTGCCTGGGGACTCCTGCTTCCTTTAGGGGTCTGGCTGGAGCCCCAATTCTGCCCCTCAGCTTCAACCAGTCCGGAGGCATGCCAACTGATCAGGATTTTGTGCTTTGGGATCAATGCTAGGGTGGGTGTCTTGGTCAGGATGTGGGAGAGGGGGAGGGGGAGATGCGACTAAGGTGCTTGTGCTTTAGCTGGGGGTGTCGACTCCCCCACATACTCAGGCTGCCTAGGGTCTAAGGTGCTGGGACTGGCCCAGGGCCCCAGCCAGACTTGACACCCCCCATCCTGCAACAAGCAGATGTCAGGAGGGAACCCCTCATCACAGGCTATGAGGTTGAGCTGTTGGGTTGGGGGGAGGCCTCCAAGTCAAAGGGTCAAGGTGGGGCTGGCCCCACCCACCTCCTGCATGCCTCTGCCTCTAGAGAGGCAGCTGGGTACAATAGGCCAGTTGGATTGGGAAGGAGGAGAGAGGAAGGGAGAGGCAGTAGCAAAGGGGCCAGAGACAAAATGGTGAAGAAAGGATATCCAGAGTGGGGGAATGGAGAGTAAAAGAATCCTTAGTTCACACACAAAACATAAAACCAAACCAAACACACACCACTGACACTGGGAGAGGATGAAAGAGAGGAATGGTAAAGAGAAAATTCTGCAAGCTACTAACAATGGAAGTAGGCCCTGCCCTGTCCCCAGGAGCTGGGTTTTGTCAAGGCAACCAGGTCAGGGACACCCTTCACCCATTACCTGTACCCCACGGGGGAGCAGTGTAAGGGGTGAGGGGGAGCTAGTCAGACCCACAGGAATCCAGTTGGTGGCTGGACCAAGGGCCCCACCTCAGAAACATACACCCACGCTCCACACACATTCACTTGCCCCTAGTCCTCCCACACTGTCCTGCCTTCGATGGCCCCCAGGGACCAAAGGGGACAGTAGACACAGTCCCATTGGTTTGAAAAATAAAAGGAATCTTATACTTCAGTATTTCATTAGCTAAAAAAATGTTTTTTTAAAAAGTATGTACAGGAGGTGGGGGCTGAGAGCCCTGCCGTGGGGTGGGGTGGGGATGGGGAAGGAAAGGGAGGGCCGCAGCCCCCAGCCTGCTCCCCTGGGTTCCAATGCTGGTCCTACTACCTCTGATAGCTTCATTTGTTTAATAGCAAAACTTCTCCACAAGCAAATGCAGACACATATAGACAGACAGACAGACAGACAGACAGACACACACACACACACACAACTTCTCAGAGCCTTGGACACTTCTCCGTTCTTCAGAGACCCTGGCTCTGCCCCAAGGAGACACCCTGGCTGAGGCCCCAGGGGACTGACAAAACCAACAGAGGCTGAACAGAGTCCACCACTGCCACCTTCCGTCCCCCACAGAATTTCTGAGCCTTGTGTTTCCTCAGTTGTAAAATGGGCGGTCCCCACGGCCTCACCTACCCCAGTCCCCAGGCACAGGGACAGAAGAAGGGAGACAGGAAGGCGCTTTTGGAAACATGGAAGCACTGGGAGGTGGTGGCGGGAGGGGTCCTGAGAACCCGGGGCCCCTGTGAGTACTACGGGGCGGCCCAGAGGGACGGAGGCTGAGGAAAGCTTCCACCAGGCAGCCTAGGTGCCTGGGTGGGGGGGCCTTCCAGAGCCCCCTGGCCGGCTCCTCCCTGTGCCTGGCCTGGTGAGTGGGAGGACAATTGCTGGGGGGTAGGAGGTGCACTGAGTGTGTGCTAGAGAAGGCAACGCAGACCTCAAACCCCCTCTGTCCTCTCCCAGCCCGCTTGGAATGGGGTGGGGGTGGGGACAGGGAAGGCGGAGGGGCCGGGAGCATGCAGTGCCCCCCAAGGGTCCTGGGGAGGGAACAGACAGTAGCTCATGACCAAGATGGCAGGTGGGTAGGTGTGACAGGAGGGAAGTGTGCAGCCCCAAGGGGAGGGGATCCAATGGGGGTTACTGGAGGGCCTCCGCTGAGGGGCCGGCCTCGCCATCATGGCTGGCTGTCTCAAAGCTGTGTTCCACGTCCATCATGTATGGCTCCATCTTGCCTGTGTCGCTGATGAAGGTGGTGTAGGCCTCGCCCTCAGCCTTGAGCAGTTTGACCTTGGGCATCCAGCTTTTACGCACAACTCGGCGGGCATTGGTGCACATGTCAGCCGCAATGGCATTCATCTCACTCTCCTTGAAGTTGGGGGCAAAGTTCTGGCAGTAGTCTACGTGGGTAGAGAGGTGGCTCAGGCTGAGTAAATGTAGTCCTGTAATCCCGCCCCAGCAACAGGTACTCAGCCATGCTGCTCCTGAATCCCCCAGCATGAATTTGTGGGCAAACACGTACACATCCACACAGACAGCACCCCTGAATGTTCCTGCTCAAAAGGGAAAGAACCAAGGGAAAGTCTAGACCCTAAATATGTGGGCCAGTCCATACTCCCACCTGAGCTGGGTCAAATATAGGGGATATGTTGGTTTGAAGTGCTCTTAAAAAATATGGATTATTTGCCAGAATTGAGGAACTTGGAGATTCCACAAGAAACCCAGATTCATCTCCTGACAATGAGACTGACCACCCCAAACACAGAAAGAAATCCCTAACTAATTAATTAGTACACTCTTTCCAGGAAACCTGGGCTGAGCTCAAAATCCATTTTAACACCAAAATCTACCTCCCACACTCTCACACATCAGGGCCAACAGCAAAGAAAGGACCACCTGCTTATCTCTGACCCCACCACAAGGCTGAAACTTACACTTGACGGCATGGAGGACACGGCTGTCCAGCGGTTTGCGCCTGGGGTCATTGGTGGAAGAACGGATGCCGGTGCCACAGCTATTTGCCAGCGTGTTCCTGGAGTTGGGGGACAAAGAGAAATGGAGTCAGTGAAGGACAGGGTTAAACCCAGCTCCACCCCCCCAACCCTAAGGCTCTGGTGAGGGCCTTACCGGTCAAAGAAGGAGGCCAGGAGACGCCGCAGCAGGACCTTGTGCCGCGTGCCTGCACTGACGTGGCAGTTCATGAGCTGTGCCCGTGTAATGTATACATTGGTACCTGCAGGGGGGAGCCAGTGGGTGGCCAAGGACCCCGAACTGTCATGTTTCCCAGGTGGCCAACTCCTGGCCTGGGCCCTTCTATGGACTCCCGAGAGTCCCTGACAACTTTCTTCAGGTAGGCTGGGCAGGTGAGTCTCTCTGGCCTCCTTAGGACTCATGAAAGAACAGAGATAGTGGCACCACTGACCAAGGGTACTGAAATCTGCTGGGCCCAGTTTGCAGTCACCTTCAAGTCCCAAAGAATGGACAGCCGAGGCTGACACCCTGAATTAAGGGCCTAATTCTTAACTACTGTGCTTGTTAATACACAGAACACCCCATGAAGCCTTTAATCCACACCCCATGCGGCCAAAGGATGCCAGCCCACACTTACACCTACCTATGGGGTGGGAACCTGACAGCCAGCTTCTGACATACATCAGGAATGCCAAGGGAAGTCAGCTGCCCCAGGACACAGTCCATGGACAGCAGGACTGGGGAGAGGGGAGGAGACTGGCCCACCTGTCACCAGCTCCAGCTTCTCAGAGGGGTCACCCTCATCGTAGAGCTTGGGGTGGCAGCGATTGCCAATCTGGTTGATGAGCTCAGCTGGGAGAGATGCCAGGTCTTGCCGCACCCGGATGCGGTTCCGGGACTCAGGGGTCACCTGCTCAGGGAGTGCCTCCACCTTTTCAGCTGGGGGGACAAAAGTGGTGTGAGTTAGGGACAGGGGTGGCAGGATGGGCTAGGGGTGGTCAAGGGGATGCCTCACCAGTCTGGCCGACGTTCATCATGCTATACATGGTGTACATGTTGCAAATCTGCCGGTACTGCTCGTCTGTGCCCTCCTCGCCTGCATCTTCCTCCTCATCCTCCTCATTGTGGTAGGAGCCAGGGCTGTCGCTGGTATAGGCACTCGAGGTGCCTGGGCTGGTCCGCTCTGATGTGCTAGGCCCACTCACCAGGCCCCCTGCTGCCGCTGTTGTCCCCCCAGCTGGCTGCCCGGTCCCTGCCGCTGCCGCCGCCACCACTGGGGTCTGCTGGGGTGGTCGGTTGGCGGCCAGATCTGGTGTGGAGAACTTGGCCATCTTGCGGCTACCATTGCTGCCCCCGGCCTCCTTCTGGCTGCTGTCCCACAGCCGCTTGGCCACCGGCGTGCATTGCACCGAGTCCGACTCCTGTTGCTCTGTCTTGACTCGTGACACGAGAGGGAGCGGGGTTCCACAGGCTGGCCAGCTGGATGTCTGGGCCACAGGGCTCTGGGGCTCAGATGTCGGGGCCTCCTCAGTGTGCAGGCCCTGTGAGTCGCAGCTGGGGGAGCTCACCTTGAGGAAGAATTCGGTGCCTTTCTCCATGATCTCCTGGATCTGCAGAAAGCCAGCTGTGTACATGAGCAAGAACTGGTCTCCCACATTCATGCTCAGCCGGCCTGTGTAGCAGAAGCTGAGGATCTGCTGGAAGGACTGGGGCTGCACGGCTGCTGGCAGTTCCACCACGGCGCTCCGGCTGCTATTGAACAGATCCCGGAAGTAGGAGCTACTGGCAGCCAGCACAGCCCGATGGGCCTTGAAGGCATGGCCCTTGACCACCACAGACACATCACAGTACAGGCCCTGTAGCCGCTGCTCATTCAGGCACTCCAGGATGCTGTTGCCAAAGTTTGGGATCTCCATCTGCAGGGTCTGTGCCATGGTGACGGCTGCTTAGGGGACAGGGAGAGACAAAGGGACAGTTATCAGGTGGCAGACTCAGAATGTTCACACAGTGGACACTGGCCATAAGGAATGTACAGAGTTGCCCACTCCTGTCAAATCAGGCTGGTCTATACAGACTGGAGGGCAAAGGCACACACACAGGGATGAATGTGAACACTCAATGAGCTGACGTGGGGCGTGTGCCCTGTGCACATTAACCGTCACTAGCGCACTCTGAAGGGCACTGGACAGTAAAGTTAAGAGTTCTGGGCCATCTCATTTTTCACACTGTACAATGCTATGATCACTCTTGAACCACTGAACGACTTCTCAAGAGACCCTGAAATTGCACAGAAACATCACTAGCAATGAGGGAAATGCAAACTCAGGTAATTTACAGCTATCAAATGGCCCAGCACTTCCACACCCAGGACTTGAAATGATACTGAGAAACTTGTACATGTCTGTAGCAGTACTATTCACAACCAAAAGATGGAAACAATACAAATGTTCATCAACCAATGGATAAACAAAAATATTGTCCATATGTGGATGAACCTTGAAATTATGCTAAATGCAAGCCAGAAAAAAAGAATCAAATTTGATTCCATTTATATTGAATGCCCAGGATAAGGAAATCCAGACAATAAGTTGAAAAAATAGTAAAAAAGTGATGTGTGTATAACTGAATATTCCAAAACCCAATGAACTCAAATGAACTCAATAAAGTTTAAAAAAAAGTCGGGTTCTTCTGGGCAGAAATGGGAACAAGACTTTCCATGTACACTCTTGATCTTTTGATTTTTGAACCTGGTGAACACACTGCCTATTTAACAAAATAAAAAAATGTGTGAAAGGCCCTCCCTGGTGGCGCAGCGGGTTAAAAGCACTGCACTAAGAAGCTGAAGCCACTTCCGCATGAGTTCGATTCCCGCCTGCCCCGGAGGTGACCACATGGCGTGGCAGACCTCTCCTGACCCACCCGCTTCCCCTCAGCAGTGTGCTTCATCAATCTGCCTGTTCTGCTCCCGGCTCTGTCTCTGGTGAAGTCTTTCGCCACCCCTGAGACTCTGGCCTATACCCCAGTTCTGTATGCACAAATAAATAAATCTTAAAAAAAAAAGTGTGAAATCACAAACACACTTACAAAAATTCACCCCAAAGTGCTGGGAGGGAGAAATGTGACCCAGTTCAGGGAGTCTAGGGCTGTGGGGGAACCCCAAGAGGTCAAAGCACCTCTGAATGTGGGAACTCCTATATCTGAGTCTATCAGTGCACACCCTAATTCATGAAAGGGGACATATCCCAAACTCTGGGGGAAATCACAGAAGGGTCTGGTAAAAGTGAGCCTCCTAAAATTCTAGAGTGTAGAAGGCAATGGTCCTGAAGAGGCAGGGAAGGGGTGAGAAGCCTAAGCAGAGATTCCACTGCCCAATGAAAGAAAGTGCATGTAAAGGTCCTGTGGCAGACACTAACTGGTGTCCTCTTGCTCCTTTTCACATTTTTCATTCATCAATTGAGCTGTCTCAGCCAAGCACTGGAGGTACAGTGAAACTTGGGCCCTATCTAGTTAACACCGGTTCATTCTGAAAGGGCTGCCAGGAGGGAAAGAAGTAGCCAGGAGCCCAAGGGCTCAGAAGTTCTGCTTTTCTATTAGGAAATAGGTACTGCTAGTAAACCTGATTCTGCAAGTGCAACAGACACCTACCTACTGAGCTGCTGTAGCAGCAGCAGACTTTGTGGGAGATGCAGGTTCTGCTACTCCCAGTACAAAGGCTGCAGGGGAGCCCACACATGACCTGCACCAGCTCCCTGAACCCTCTGAGAAAGCCCAAAGCTGATTAAATACTCCCAATTCTCAGCCGGGCAAACTGAGGTCATATGGAGTTAAGGACTATACGGGGGTCAAATAAGGGCAAGACTCAAATGGGCCTGTCTTGACATTGAAAATATATGATCCCACCCCCTTGCTGTACCACCATCATCATCTTATCACTGTCACTACCAAGAAAAATAAGAAAGACAGCTAGAGTGGGGAGGTGGATGAGACTGGGGCCATCAGTCAGAAGGCAGCACACACATTCTAAGAGTTCTAGTTCAGCAACTGACCCTGAATGAAGAGTTAGGGGAAACAAAGGCAGAAATGGACAGGGCCCAGACAACCCCTTTTCCCTCCAGAGGGCCCACAAAAGCCTGACCACCTCCCCAGGCAGCGAAACTGAAACTCTTTCCAGGTCCTAGGGCCCAAGTGTCTGGTATCAAGGGGGCTAAGGGAGAGGCTGGCCCACATGTCCTTGAAGGTGTGCTCTGTCACCCCACTTGGAAGGCTCACACTTCAAGGAGAGGACAAAGGAAGAGGTATGGGGCAGAACCAAAGTCCCTAGGACCCAAGTTCTAAAGCAGTCCTTTCCTTCTCTGCCTCAGTTTATCATCTGTAAAATGGGGACTCTCACCCAACCCACCCCAATAGACTACTGGAAGGACACAGCCCTGAAGAAGTTTGGCAACAGGAGGCTCACTGTGTAATGAGGACCACAAGGAAACATTTTTGTTACCATTGGGGCAAATGTGTCTCAAGAGCCAAGCATCTTGAATAGGAGCCAAGTGTGGTCCTGGGACCCCAGGGAGGCCAATGGTTGGAGGGTAAGGCAAGGTGGGGGGAGGGGAAATGGGGCTGTGGGGAAGAGCATGGGATGGGAGTCAGGTGAGGAGAGTGAACAGTGGGAAGCTTGAAGCCAGAGTGACTAGGGCACTGACCAGCTTTGGTAGAACACCTGGTAGAGTGGAGAAGGCAACAGGACAGGAAAGAGGCGGAGGAGAGCTGGTGGGCAGGAGAGTGGGGAAGAAAGGAAGGGAGGTCTCTGGCACAGGGAAACACTAGAAAGGAAAGCAGTTTCTTTACAGGGTGTAGAAAATAAGGGCTCATACGTCCACAATGGAGTAGTGGCTCTGGAAAGAGAAGCCCAGAGGAAGCCACCCACAGTTAGCCAAGGGCTTGAGTCACAGTCAAGTTTTAAGAGTTAGCTGCACATACAGTTACTCCTCCAGGGAGACAGCCAACTTCACAAGAGCAGGCGATCTGGCTGGATTTGTTCATTATTAGCTCCTTACAAGTGAGGCAGGCAATCAATAATTATTTGTAAATGTCTTAAATAGTGAAGAGAGAGCTATACTGAAAACCCTGAGGCAGAAATAAAGGACTACTTTAAGAGATGGCAGCTGAGGCAACAGAGGATATGGCCAGGGAGAGGACTCAGTCATATAAAATCAGATACAGATGTCACACACCAAGGCTTCAGGACTATCTGAAGGGTCCTCCTAACTGGACCTGGTGTGCTGGTTGCTGCTGGAAGCCCTTTTCCTGAGGGAGTGGGTGCTAAAGTTCTTGGTATTATAGAAGGAAACAAAGGCACAGCAAGGGTGTTTCCAAGGGCAAGAAACATTAAAGTAGGGGTCCCCTATACATTGTAAACTACAGTCCTAAAAGCCCAGAACCCAAGGTTTTGAAGACTTCAATGCAAAGTGGGGTGGGGCATAATTAGAAATGAACGCGTAACCAACCAGTGGACAGAAACTCTTCACAGTGCTAGGGAGTCGGGTCTCTGTGCCTGTCTCTGCAAGGATGGCAGGGAAGGAGGCCACATGAGACATTAGCAACCCTCTTCTAGGATCTGCTCTCCCATGGTGAATGCTCCCAATCCAGTCAGCTAGACTGAGAAGGAACAGCAGCCTCTAGTCCACCTCAAAGTCCCCATCCACTCACTCCAGTCCCAAGGAAGGAGCCATGGATGACGATGGGCTCACTCCAAAAACAGGAGTGGGGCAGCAGGTGCTTAGTCCAGGTCGCCTGGTTGTTAAGTGGTGGGATGCACTGTGTTGGGATCTCTAAACCACCTACATTCTGTTCCCACCAATCGGGGGCCCTTCCTCCATTATCTGTCTCTTTTCTCCCACTGTCCATTTCGTCCCCCTCCACTCTTAAGCTAGCTCTGCTCCGAGAACTCACCAGCCTGGAGAGCAGTTGCCCAACATCTTTATACTTATCTTTGAAAACCCTAAATTCCACTTGACCATGAATTCCCCAGTGGCAGCCCAGTGGCAGAACTGCCCACTTCAATCATCTTTCTTCACAATTTGGTCTATCAGCCTGTTCATATTCTGGTGTCCCCAGGCCCCTCTGGAGGGGAATGGTGGCCACCAGCCCCACAGAACTAAGGGAGCTCTCCTAGCTTTGCTAAACCTGGACCCAGGCAAGAGCAGGTTAGCCAGTGAGACAAGCATGGACACAACATGTAGCTACAATGACATCCAAACAGCCACGCAGCAAATATTTGCTAAATGCATGCCTTGGAGCCTGGAGCCAGTCACCACTCAGAAAGGGCCCTGACTCGGGGCACATGGTCCTATGGGGGACATGGCTATTTGCCCAGGGTCATGCAGAGAAATGTGCTGCATACTGGGGCATTTGACTCAGCCCAGAAGAGGAGACAACAGTACTGGGATCTGGGGGTGGTAGATGGGGGCATGGTTCCTTCAAAGCATAGTTGGCCTTACTGAGAAGCAGGCACAGTTCTTCCAGAATGAAGGATGATGAAGACTGGTAGTGGGCACAGTCCTCAGTCAGCATCTCTGCTCCCCTCTGGGGGAGCACACCCTTGTCTCAGAGATTGAATTGTGTCCCTCATCCCAATTCAGATGTTGAAGTCCTAACCCCAACATGCCTGGATTTGGAGAAACGGTCTATAGAAGGTAACTGCTAATAAAGTTTTAAAATGGGACCCTAGTCCCTGGTGGCACAACAGGTTAAAGCACAGTACTACAAAGCTAGCCACAGCCAGGGAGCTGACCCACAAGGCATGGCAGACCTCTCCTGCCTTGCCCACTGCTCCCCCTCACAATGTACTTTGTCAATCTGCCTGTTTGCTCCCCAGTCTGTCTCTGGTGAATCCTCTCAGCCCCTGCACCTCTGGCTTCTACCCCAGTTCTGTATGCGTAAACAAATCTT